ATCTCAACAGCAGAACGTTAGGTAAACAGTACGGTGATTTTTCACAGTTTTCCTGTAATTTTTCAACAAATATTTGTGAAAAATCACAGAAAATCTGGGAAAAATCACCGAACTGTTTACCGAACGTTCTGCTGTTGAGATTACGGTAAAATTTCACAGATTTCGGTAAAATAATCTTAGTGTGTACACAGATAAAAATTCTGAATTTTAATTGTGATGTAAACATTCATTCACGCAGACTTGTATTTCATTTCACGCAACCGAGCAACTTGTAAACAATGTTGTTAACAAAGATGGCCTTTTGTATACAATATTAGCTACATTGCATGAAATGTGTCAGAACTTTACATGATATGTAATGAAAACGTATATGATATGTGACGCTTCATTTATGTGCATGATATTGAACAGAAATTTACACTACTTTTTCGAACTGTGTATTTTTCGGTACTTTTTTTGCAGGATACATTCTGTAAAATACCATTTTCACCGAAAATTTTGTAAAACATATTATTTTACCAATTCTCCGCAATCAAAAGTACATTCAAGAGTGAAGAAAATTTACTGAACGGATTGTAAATAATAAAATTACCGAATAGATTACCGAATGTTCAGCTGTTCCATATTCGGTAAAAAATTACAGTATACTGTAAACAATTCTTAGCAACGGCGCCGGTGGTGTAGTGGTAAGCGTGATTACCTCTCACCCCAGAAGGCCTGGGTTCAATCCCAGTCGGCGCCGCCGGGATGTTCTGAGGCATAACATCTCTGATCACGCCTTCCTTCGGATGGGAAGTAAAGCCGTTGGTCCCCGGTTCATGAGTTGATTGATGGGTCGATAGGTAGGGTCCAGGTGTGGGAGCTGCTTTCCTGGCACGTCGGTAGCATTGGTGCTCAGCACGGAAAACAAGATCGACGGAAAAAACAAACCAAAGGAAAAAAAAAAAAAAAACAATTCTTAGTGTGATGCACAGCTAAAAAAAAGTAGTGTAAATTTCCGTTACTATGATGCACATAAATGGAGCGTCATAAATCATACAAGTTTAGATTATTGATCGTGTAAATTTATGAGACATGTCATGCAGTATTCCATATATTGTATGCAACTGTCCACTTTTGTTTGCAACATTTCTTGCAAGCTGCTAGTTTACGTGAAAAGGAAGTTTACATGTATCAATGTTTGCATGCATGGATGTTTACATCGCCAGTAAAATTCAGAATTTTTTGGTGAGTGGAAGACGTGTCTTTTAGAAACCGAAAGAGTGGACCATATTGTAAGTTAATTTAATATATGATTTATGATATTATCAAGATTAACGACATTACAATGACAAACAATGCAGCAACAAAATGTAATCCGATCGAACAGCCACAGCGGGTACCCAGAAACAGCACCAGCAAAAGGGGTATTTTACCAGCATTACATTCAAATTGTGTGTCTTGCAAAATTGTACTTCTGTTCCGATAAATGGCATCCATAAAATTAATTCTAATTTTGGCAGCGAAAGAGGTAACACGAAGTCAGGGGTTGAAACAGTTGACGTTTTTTACTACACTCGCTTCGTTGTCGTGCGCGACAGTCTGTTTGAATTCGTACACTCATGCTCTACCGTCGTCTCTCTCACACAACACACTTAGAAAAAATCACCGACTTCGGTAATTCATTTACCGAATTCTCAACAGCTGAACGGTCGGTAATGTTTTCGGTAATCGAGAACATTACCGAAAAATCTGTAAACTGGATCAGCAAAATTAGCTGTCAAATTTACCGAACGATCGGTAACGTTTACCGATGTGCATTGCTTGATTTGTAGTCGACTTTACCGGAGAACTGTAATTTTGAGGACGATATGCAAATCGAAAATTACCGAGAGATCTGTAATTTTTTAAAAAGGTAACCGACTCAACTGTAATTTGCTTTAATATTGTTTCAAGGTGGCGGTCACTGCAACCCATGTAAACAATTGGCTGCTGTCGTGATCAATAAGTTAGTGTTGCAAATTGCACCACCAATGAACAAAACCGTTTTTGACGGAAGGATTCGGCGCTACACTGAAAACAAGGAAGCTTTGGAAGAATATTCCAAATGCTGTTTTCAGATCGTCGCCAACGGGAATGAAACTTGGACCGACAGAAAAAACAAGCAACAACATCGGCCATCTGTAATCGGTATTTATTTAGATAACGAAAATTAATTATTTGCGGAAAATATCTACGATTCACTCATTTTGGTGTTGTATAACAGCCTCCATAATTTCACCTTTTTATTTTTCACAAGCACGAACGCTTTTAAAGTTGATCGAAAATAACAATATGGTGGATTTGGCGTTTACCTAGACCATTACCGAACTCAGTAATGGAACGCTTTGTTTACCGAAACTTCAGTAAAATATTTCACCGAAGTCAGTGATGAAGCTGATTTACAGACCTGCCGGTAAAAATGTTTACCGTTTTCGGTAAATTATAATGAAATTACCGGAATTCGGTCATTTCATTTACAGTTTTCAGCAATATAGTGAGAAAATACCGAAACACCTGTAATTTTTAGCATTACCGATCTAAGACGGTAATTTTTTTTACCGAACTCAGGGTCTCTGTTTAAGTGTGAACACAACCGGTAGAATAACATTCGAGCAAAAAGAAAATTATCAAACAACTTTCATATGACTTGTGTGATTTCGTTCTAAATCTTCAATTTGGTGTAAATTAAACCATTTCTTTTCAGAAAGGTTATGACTAGGACATCATTGCTTGCTATTTTCATAAGTCACACAAGCACAACATCAGCAGCTCTAATTACGAGAAAAACTAAAACACATACATTCGTGAAGGTCTTCGGCTACAGTGTCGTATGACAGAGTCTGTCATATGAGATTTTAGTTTGGTACTGTACTATGATAGCTGTTTTTGCAAGTGTCGGAGGCAAAGGCAGTCGATTATCACAGAAAATGTGTCGACTACCGTGACCGCTTACAAGACTGACACGAAGTAGAGTTCTTGAAAAAAAAAGAGTAAAGGGTTGTGTCCTAGACACGACCGCAGTATGACGTAGAACCACGTAAAATTGATGTTTGTCATGCATTTTTAGGCTATTAATGCTATTATGAATGGGGCGGGCAGAATGTATCTTTTGTGCAGAATATGGAAAAATATTGACTTTGGATGTTAATCTAATTGCATATATAGAGGCATCCGATATATTTTATAGTCAGTTGTTGGTAATTTACCAACATAATATCATATGATGCAATTGTTTTGAAAATGTTGGCTTTTGTTTTTACTTATAATTGTAGTTTGCTTAAATTTATTTCCCGGAAAAAAAAGTGATCGTCCATGTCTTTTTTGAGTTGACGTTATAGACGGAGGGAGGGTAATTTTGCATATCCCAGTCTCATTCCTCATTATGTGACAATTTTTTCTCAAATTTGAAAGTTTTGGTGCGGGAAGAAATTAACGGAAAAACTTTTGTTTTACTAATAATTGTAATTTTGCTTAAAATTTATTTCCCGGAAAAAAAGTGATCATGTCTTTTTCGGGTAGTTGTTAGGGGGGAGGGGGTTTAACATGCATAATTTTCCAAGTCTCATTCCTCATTGTGGTGGTCATGGTCACGCCGTGATCCACCTTTGGTCGCTGTCTTGGTCCTGCTTGCTGCAGGACATAATGCCACGCCGTCCGAAGCGGTAATGAGCAGAGGTAGGAAAGCAGCGCTGTTTTATATCTTTTCAGGTTTAAGCAGAATGTGCAACCAAGTGGTATTCGTTTCTGATGACTGGGTTTGGGGAAAACGTTAAGTTCATGAAAACAGTGATAAAATTGTCATTTACGCATTTTTCAAAAGTTTTTTGATTAAGAATTGGAATAGGATTTATTTCAGCAGATTCGTTAAGTAATATTCTATCGATTGGCGTATTTGGATTTTATTTTCATCTATAAATGACAAAGTTACAAGCGTTCAAACCCTAACACTATTTCACCACACATATTTTTTTATTTGTACCTCAGTATAGTCGACAAAGACGTAGTTATACGTCAAAACACCGAGATATGGCCGGCACATGTTTCGATTTGTATGTGCCATGAGACAATATCCGACCTGAAACGAATAAATCCATCATGTGACACACATCAAATGACATGAGAATTAAAAAAAAACTTTTCACACTGGCCACATCTGGACATGTTCCGGTACCCCAGGAGAAGTGACCAATTTCTGACTAACATCAAAATCCATCATGCGATACCTCAAATCACGTGATAATTCATATATCACCTCACATCATATGAGCGCTTTTATCGGATTTTAGGTTAGTAAGAAGGGTCAGATCTCACCAAAGGTGAATTAATTCAGGTTTATTGAAATAAAAAACACCGAATACAGTAGTTTTTTTTTTACACAAATGTGAATTATTACCTCACGGACAAACAGGCATAACGCATTGTATATTTCACACTATTTGAGTACACTGTGATGCGCTAAAACATTACCGTCGCTACATTGTGTTGTTCTTTTTTTTTAATTCTTTATTTTAGAGACTTTTAGCCGAAGGCTAGTTCATCTCTACACATTGTGATGGGCAAAACACTAAACAGATGGCGGAAGTGTGTAAACGTTAAACGCAAGGGAATTAGTGGCGGTACTACCAACTAAGAAACATTTAAATTGATCGTTAAAAGTGATTTCGATGAGCATCTTGCGAGTGTTACGTCTGCTTTTCTGTGACCTACCTTATTAACATATTTTAACGATTTTAACACATCATGCAAATCATATTTTAACATAATATATATTGTTCATAGTTTTATGCAAATCGGAGAAGGCTGCGTCTGATTGTTTCGTCATTTGACGTAGAACCGAACTGCTCAAGGTTTGGTTTTAAAAGGACAAATTTCATGATAATGGACTCTAGATTTTAAAGTGTCATCATTTAGTAAAAATAAATGGTACAATACGTTATTGCAATTTATCGATTTTTCGATAACACCTGTCGCTATTTTAAAATTATATTTCATCATTTCCGAACAAGTTACACTCCGCAAAGTCCACATCTTCCACACTGCGTTCATCATGCAAGACACCAACCTTGCTTTGGAAAAATGTGCCATCTCGGTTTTCACACGAGTACTCATCGACGCATGCGTTGCCAACGCTTCCTCTCAACCGTGCTCTCTTTCGATATGCCTCATCGTCGAAGGTACATACCAGCTTCGGTGGATGACTGCAAGGCTGTGGTTCTAATTGGAAATGCTCTCGGAAGAAATCATACACCCGGCCCTTGTCTTTGGTTAGGTTGTTGAACATTACCCGTTGTTCCTTGGTCAGCAGCGATTCCGCCATGAACGTCAGATGGTGGTGCATGGCTTGGTACGTTATGTCCGTGTCGGCTTGGGCGGTAATGTTGAGCCATTGCTGGATGCATTCTAGTGGAGTTCGCTCGAAACCAGCATATAGTGCAGGATTGGAGAGAATGCCACGAGCGGACATGACACCTGCAACGAAGTATATTTTCAAAACCTAATAAAACTAATTACAGTTAGATCTCGATTTTGACAACATGTCTTTTTTTTTGTTTTTGCGTTTCATAGGGTTTAGTATATGCAAATTTTCCAATGGGTTTCCTGTAAGTCACCGTCGGAGGAAAATATTACAAATGCTTAAAAAATAAGATAAAAAATGAATTGAACCAGACGGATTTGTGCAGTGTTCGGAAAATTATTCTCAAATCAACCATTCATTGAGCCTGAGACATTACACTTGCGTGCGAATCTGACAAACAATACTCATAAAACCGTTCAAACATCTATTCAAGAGCCACATGCGAAAAGGACATACAAGCTGTTTGTAAACAAACCTTTTAGGCCATTTTCTCGCCAACCGAGGGTTGTCCACGCAAACCAACAGCATCATCGGTAAGAGGAAAGTTTCTCCTACCCAGTGATGTTGATGGTTTGCGTTGGTGTCATATGGATGGCGAGAAATGGCATAAGGTTTGTTTACAAAAAAAACTTGCATGCCCTTTTCACATGTTGTTCTTGAATGTATTGTCAATTGTCAATTGTCACAGAACAGAAGTGGATGTGTGAACGAAACAGTGCATTAAAAAGTGGGAGAAAAATGTTATTCACCAAGTGATACTTGTAGATGCGCTTCACACAGATTTTCTATGGGCATTCACATAATCAAAGCATGCCATAACAAAAATTACTTTAATGGTGGTAAGCTTCAACCGGTATTATCCTCGGATTAAATCCCAAGAATGTCCAGCTGCTTTAATGTCGACACCTATCCACTAAAAAAAAAAATAAAAACACAACTCTAAGCAAACATTTTGCAGATCATCCAAACAGGGACGATATTAAAAGTTAATCCGAGTTTGAGCTTACCGTCGTACGAAAAAGCTTAACGACGTGTTCGGGGTATCATCCAAACTTCCCACAAATGGTTTGGATTAGAGAGGGTCTAGTATAAGAGAAGAGCGGATTCAGCCAGGAGGTGGATTCTAGGTGAATTCTAGCAACACTGCCAATGCAATCAAGATAGGCGCTGCTGTATTGGCTCTGGCTTTGACAGTTCGTTTGGCTCAAAACCAGCCAGTCCGCTCCTCTCTTATACTAGACCCCCTCTAATCCAAACCATTTGTGGGAAGTTATACCATCCGAGGTTGTACTTCATTCCTTTATTTAACGTCGGTCTCTGTTCCGCAATCTAGAGCCAATAACCTACGGACATCGATTGCCATCCATTGACGGCAATGGATGGTAACCGAATGTGCAGGAAGGCAGCTTCCACACATGCGTAGGACATCGCACCATTCAAACACACACATGGGCCGGGGCCAAAGGATTTACTTCCTTTCCGAAGGAAGACGTGACCAGAGATTGGAATTGAAACCAGACCCGAGACCAGACCCATTGTGGTGAGAAAGCAGTCACGCTTACCACTACACCCCCGGCGCCGGCATTTGTGTATATTTAATTTAAAGAACCTAATTTCGTGTTGCAAAAAACGAGATCCCACTGCATTATTGGTTGAGTTTTTAAGTTAAGTTATCTTGATATTAATTGAGAGCTTTCTATGCCGACCAATGCATGAATCTGTATATTATGTGGGAAGCACAATGATACTCAAAGGAACATTATCAACCCGAAAGATGTTCTTAACCTAAACCGGAAATCGAACCCGCCTCCTTCGGCTTGGTAATACCGTGCCTTAACTGATTAGGCTATCTGAGGCCATTAGAACGATATCCAGCAAGGATATAGAACGTTTCTAAGGCAACTACCTACAAAAGGAAGCATTGATTGTTTACTAGCACAGTGTACGAAAAGTCAGTGAACCAGGATGGAAGAAATGGAAGCTTGTTCCAATATTTCGATTTCATCTGCCATCGAACCGAAAGACGACATTATTCAGCATCGGATCCAGCACATCCGCAAACAGCTAGATGACACGTACAATTTATTCATCAACGCAAAGGAGGCATTATCGAATATTTCGTTCGACAACCTCAACGAAAAGATGACTACCGAAGCGTCACTATCAACGAATTCCAAGGAAGTGCTGGTAGTTGGTGATGATCAAAAAATCGATGTTGCAAAATCACTGGAAAACCTTGACAGCACACCGAGAAGCTCTGGAAATCTCAACAAATATGAGGACATTCCAGAACTGAATAAATTCTTCCATGTGATGGCAGATCTCAAGGAAGGCATTAAAAATATATCAAAGCATCAAGAATCCATTGCAAAATTGAATGCAGACATCGATACATTCGTGGACAAAGTAAACAGTAATCCCATAGAAGATCAACTAATGAATATTTCACTAGAAGACTCACAATAATAAATTTACTTACCGTCACAATTCGTTGAGCAATGCATCGCATCGGCGTCACGTAAGCTGAAAATGTCCCCGTTTGCCACCACAGGAATACTTAAACTGCTCTTGATCTCTTTCAGTGCTTCCTTGTTCACCGGAATGTTTGTCTTCTGGACCGGTGTTCTTCCATGAACTGTAATAAACGAGATCCCACACGCCTCCAGCTGACGGCACATATCTATCGTTTCGCCCAAGGGTTTCTGCAGTAGTCGAACCTTGACAGAAACGCTGAACGAACCAGGCAGATTCCGTCGAACCGTGCTCAACATGTCCGCGATCAGTTCCGGTGTCTTTAAAAGCGCACTGCCGTATCCATCTTGCATCGCCCAACGTTGAGGACATCCGCAATTTAAATCCACTCCATCCACGTAGCTGTAGATCACAATGAATATTTTGCACTTGTTCAGAATTATCTCATTTTAACTTACGGATATACCATCTCGGTAGCGGATAGGAAATCCACAGAATTATTAGCGGCAAATTGCGCAACCACTGGTGTATCATCTAAAAAGCACATTTTGAATGAACTAAACTTTTCAAATAAACTCATTTTAATCCTACAAACCTTTATTTGTGGTAAACTCATTGAGTCTAGCCTTTTCACTTTGGCAGAATGAATCAGCCATTATCATGCTAGTGAAGGTGAGATCAGTTCCATAAGCTCGAACTAAATTTCGAAATTCCAGTCTACGATTGCAAAACATCGTTTACCTCAATATAATTTCCCACAAAACATCAATGATCGCTTACCTGCTGTATCTTACCATAGGCGCACATATTTTTAAATATGTGTCATTCGATTTAGCTTCCCGGAACAACTGCTCAACATTGCACTTTGGTTTGATCTAGAAATAATCGTTGAATTGTGTTTTACTGAATGGTATTTATTGGGATGTGAACCAATTGGTTATTTAAGAGCGGCGATTGCAATTTAGATTTCAAAAGATGCATAATATATTTGATATACTCTAAGCTATATTCTAACAAGAATATATTCTTCGGTATTCTTTACACACATGATCTGATCGAATTATCAAGTTTATTTGAATTTATAATTCTTAAGTTTGTAAAATATGAAAGAAAACTAAGGAAAAGTCCATCAAAACAGCATATAATTATGGATTTGATATCTCTTTCTGTTCATTTTCACCGGCACAGCAACAGTAACATTCGCTTCATGAACATAGTTGCTACAACAGTAGTGTTCCTTAAACATTTACCTCATCCATCTCAAACAGGTGTAAAATAATATCCTGAAATAAGCTGCAAAACCAAAACCAGAAAACCGCTGAGCAAGCAACACACAACACAACAACCAATCAAGGGAACCGACTTCGTTTTGTTTACAAACAAACTGAAATGAAAGCATGCGCGTTTGACGTTTCTTCATCGAAGTTTAGGGGTGATGAATGGAATAATGCACACTGAACTGCATTTATTAATTTGATCGGGAATTTGATTCATATTTAAAACGAAATTGATTGGGGTCTGTTCACAAATTCTGTAAAGCCAAAAATGGCAGTTTTATACTCCCCCATCCCCCAAATAACCACACATAACAAATTTGCCTATACTTCCCCCTCCCCCAACGCGTAACACTATGTAAACGTAGGACCACAAACGAAGTGACAGACGACTAACTGGCGAAGAAATCCATTTAAATAATGTGGTTCACTGTAATAGAATTTTCTTGGAAGCTTGTGCCATCATCCTCAATTCATTGTCTCTCAACCCTCACCACGTTCGGACGGGAAAATATAAAGTTAAAGAAAAGTGAACCGCGTGTTTTAATTGTTTGATTGACTCCACACGTTACTAGAATTAAAAAAAAACCATTGGTCGAATTAAAAGTTTGCATTGGTTCTTTTTGGTAGAAAGCGGTTAACTTTCAAAACAAAAGCTAGCTAACTGTTAATTCAAAAGTTACCCATTCCCTGTTTTTGAAAGTTGAAACTTTCAAAATGAATTGTAGTACTGTCAAATGAAAAGCACGAATTCAAAACAAACTTTTGGCATGCAAGTCGAGGGGCACGCAATAGCCTTTTTGACTGCGTTGGATTTAAAGTACAAGGTGTTTAACTATGTAATTAAGGTGATACTCTAAGGAAGCCTTAGCGTGAAACTTTAAAGGCACAAATGCCAGCTTCCACAAAACATACAAATTTGAAATTGCTACTCCTTGTAAAACACGTACCTCAATTTGATTACGTAATTAATGTAATTAAAAATTAATTTTCTGTAATTAATGTAATTAAAGTTACACAAATGTAATTAAAAACGTACCCAAATCCTTATTCTTAAACTATTTTAAAAAAATGAAGAAAAACCCTTAACACATACTCGAATGAATTTATTTATTCAAAAACTCTTTTTACACCCTGAAATACGCATATTAATGTTTTACTAGACTACAAACATGACCAATTCTGCGTATCCTTATACTAAATTTCTTGGAGCACCATGCTAGAGTTGGAAACTGAAATAATCCACTCGCGATAATCGATTTCACTCTCGTTTTGTACGTTCAACATAATGTCGTATCTAGTACACTGTATTCGTTGAATAATGCGTTGTAATGCAGAACTAGAATAAAATCGATTGTCACAAGTGGGTTATATCGGTTTACAACTCTAGCGACAATATACAGTGAAAAAGAAGTGATACTCATAATGAGGGCCGTGATTGCCATACAAATGAAATGGGAATTACTTAGTTGTGACGACAAGTCTTCAAATTTTACATTTCCTTAAATTCAAGCAATTCCTCGAGCAAATTTCCTCCCGATTCTTCGATTATTTCAATATTTCTTTCAAACTTAATATTATTATACTAATAATAATTAACAGATTTAAGGCAGAGTTCATTAACAAAAAAATTATAATCAGGTTTTGGTTGCAGACACTAAGATGATTCAAACCAATTGTGTGCTTTTATTTGTATTATCGCCATCATATGATCACATCCGTATTCAGAATTGACGCGATAGCATTTATGAAATTCGCCTCCCCATTGTTCGTCTTTCCATGGGTCAACTAAACAATAGGGGAGAACAGTACATAACGCACCCCCGGGGTAAGACGCACTTTTTCATGTTATTTTTAGTTTTTCTTGAAATTGTTAATCCAATTCTAGGATTAATCATGCAGGATTTTGAGTTCAGATGCTATGCTAGAAGTGCTGCTTGATAAGACAACAAAAAAGTTACGTAAAAGCCATGAAAAACACAAATGAAAGTCAGCTGGTGCGTTCTGCCCAGGGGGTGCGTTGTATACCATTCTCCCCTACTATGGGCAGAACTCCAAACCGATAGGAAACGATGAGTCCCATGTGCACAGGACACGAAATGATCGTTACCGATCAACTTTACACACTCAAGTTATCCGTGCTGGGAAGACAATTGCATACCAGCTGCGATTTTTTCCCGGAAGTAGCTCAGCGTGTGAATGTCCAAAGTATTCACCAGCTCCAGTGTCCGTTCAGCTGTCTGGGATAGCAAATTTGAACTCTTAATATGGTCATTACCGACGGAGTTTCGTAAAATAATGAAGTTTGATATGTCACACGAGGGGTTCCGGTTCTTATTGGGAGTTGGATATTTAACCGGGGTGGGGGGGTGGGGGGGGGGGGGGTGACAATTAAATAGGACTGTGGACTGTCTAAGACCATTATTAGCCGTGCAGAATCATGAAGTTTGATATGTCGCACGAAGGATTTTGGTTCTTGTCGATAGTTGAAAATATACCCGGGAACACCGGAATATGCCAGGGAGGGCCAATGGGATCGTGGGCTCTCAAAAAGACCATTACTGGCCGACTTCAGCAGAATCATAAAGTTTGATATGTCGCATGACGTGTTTTAATTCTTGTGGAGAATCGGTCACTTGCCCGGGGACACAGGAACATGCCCGAGAGGGCTAGTGTGACCGTCGAGTCTCATTAAGGCCATTACCAGCCAAAATTTGGAAAATCATGAATTTTGATATGTCGCACGATGGGTTTCGTTCTTGTTGAGAATTGGCCACTTCCCCGGGGGCACCGGAACATTCCCGGAAGGGCTAGTGTGACCATGGACTTTCAATAAGGCCATTACTGGCCAAGATTTGTGAAATCATGTTGTTTGATATGTCGCATGATGGGTTTTGGTTCTTGTTGAGAATTGGCCACTTCCCCGGGGGCACCAGAACATGTCTGGGAGGGCTAGTGTGACCATGAACTCTCAATAAGGCCATTACTGGCCAAGATTTGTAAAATCATGAAGTTTGATATGTCGCATGATGGGTTTTGGTTCTTGTTGAGAATTGGCCACTTCCCCGGGGAACCGGAACATTTTCGGGATGCCCAATGTGATTGTGAACCATCGAAATAGCTGCCACTGGTCCAATTACATCGTTTGACAGAAAAAAAAACATGATGTTCATCGTGTGTATACTTATTACAGAACAATAAAGCTGAATGCCGACCAAAAGCGACCCCACCGGGAACCGAAATAACTCCGGAACCATGAATTGATCAAAATATTTTCAGATGTATTCAGAAACTTCAATAGATTCAAGACAAAATTCAATTTGTTGTAAAGACAAATATTGAGAAATTATGTTTTTATAGCTAATTGAATTTTGAAATCTATGCAAATTTAGACGTTAGGCACGCAAAGGTTAACATAATTTTCTATTGTAATTCTGTTTTCGTTCGCGTCCTCCAAATTATATTCGTTATTTCTTAGGTTGAACCAGGTAGCACACAGAAACATTCCTTTCATTGTCGCATACTCCGGTGCTTTTACAGGGGCGTGATCCAGGATATAGTTCATTGCCCTGCCAACACCTCGGCAGTATTGAAATCCGACTACATTTCCAATCACGAACCGATCGTTGTACATGTGAATTGGCACCAGAGCTGCCAGGTGGTTTTATAAAAAATCTGTATCCACTCTATTAAAAAATCTGTATTTTCTGTAGTGACGATTTTTTTCTTAATTAATCATGTTTTGTTGTTTTACAAATACAGTGCATACAAAATAACCATAAAAAGTGCTTAACCACCTATTCGGGCTATCGTACTAACCATACGGGATATAATTGCGCCATTTGTGATATCGTCCGTACTTATTTATAAGAGTGATATGAAGCCGTTTGAAAATGTATGGAGATTTTAGTTTCTATTCATTATCTTCCTGATAAGCAGTTTTAAATGCAAAAAAGTGCATGAGTTCATTACTATTTGATATTTTTAATATAGATGAATACGATTATTTACATCATTTGTGTGGTAGTTACACCGAAAAGTCGAGAGATGTCGCCCCGCCAGTGCTGGTAAAATTATTTTTGCAGTATGGAGAATATCAGAACATCCGCAATTTCTTACGAAATACATTTTCAATGCAAGTAAAACGTTTACGAGTACTTGTATTTGTACCATTTTAATGTGCTCGGGCAATTTTCTTGTATTTAACATATATGCTTATATTGGAAATATTCAATTAATACTGTAAATCCCCATACAATCTCAAATCGGTTACTACCAGCTCCATATGCATCCGAAAGCGGTTGGTCCTCTGTCCTCTTAATTTTGGAGAGAAGGGGGTACGCTGATAAAATCGAGCATCAACCAGATTTAAATAAAATGCTCCATTTGCAAAATACAAGCATTTTAAGACTGCACTTGTATACCTTCCCGTGGAAAATTTTGAAACCATCATCACTCTCATAGTTCTTCTATACTCCACGAGTGCCAACTTTGATTTGCCAATAGCTCAACATTATTCAACGATCACGACAAAACGGTTCTTTTTCAAGGTCATCAATCTGATGTCAGTTCCCATATGTTGAAATCTAACATACCATATATTTTAATGACAACATTGGCAGTACAATTTCAAAATCCAAAGTTGGTCGCGGCATTAAAGTGGTCTGATTTTGAATCTGTTAAAATTAGGGATTTTTTTTATTTTGCAAAATGTCACTGTTGAAAATTGCACGAATGTGCAAGTGTTGCTAGATCATAAAATGATCACCGATTGCCTGCGAAAAGCACTTTCCCTAAAACAGATTTAAAAATTGGATTCCATCCGATCTCACCGAGCGGTGTGCATTCAAACACCACGTGTGGTGAGTGGTGGTGTTCTCCAGTACACAACGAAAGGCTCCCCACATGCAGCTAGCCATCAAGGCTGCCCTCAACCGCTGATCGGATTCAGTTGCTCGTCGTGAGCCGCTGTGGGTCATCTATGCCGAGCGTGTCACTCTCGTTCCAAACAACATACAGCTCGTCGGCCTTATCCGTGTTGAACACCCTAATAGACTTCTCTGACGTTTATGAA